AAATCGTCTTTAATCTTAGTTAACAATTTTAATAAACTTTTATTAAAATTAGTTAACTTTTAATAAAAGTTATTAGTTAACTTTTAATAAAAGTTATAATTTTTGATTATTGCCTCCATTTTATTTTCAAGCTTAATAAAATGTATACTTATGTGGCACTTTCCAGTTTCAATCTAACTTTACATCAATGCTTTCATGACACCAGGGAGAGCCCAGAGGCTTGCTTCTAATGATGGTTCTGTTTAAATGGGCTACTTTAGTAAGCTACATTTATAAAAGGATATGTTTTGGGAATTGGCTTCAGATCCAGTTTATTTTACAAACACAATAATTGCCATTACCTAAACAATCCATATGTTAAGACCAAACCCTCAAAATGATTACTACATGGAAGGTGGGAGTCTTAGGAAATGATTAGGTCACGAATGAGAATAGTGCTCTTGTAAAAGACCCTTGAGGGTGCCTTTGCCCATTTCCACCATGTGAGGACCTAACAAGACATTTGCAGTCTGAAACACAGGAGAGGGTCTTCATGAGGACCTGACCATACTGGAAAAATACAAATTGGCAATGGTCATTGAATACACCTAAAACAAATGTTAGAATTATGGCCATAAGACAGAGGGTAAATGTTATAAATTCTGACAATATAACAAAGAAACAACCAAGAGGAGTTGAGAGAGCGAAAATAAAAGAACATTACAGAAAATATTAAACAAGGGGGTTGAACAGCAAATACACTGCTCACTGCTTTGATTTATAACTAAAAGATAGCTACAAAATTATTAAGAAATCCACTGGACATAAATACTTCCTTCTCAAAGTCAAATTTCATGCAGATGTAGAGAATGTATAGGCTGTATTATGACAAAAATTAAATGAGCAATGTAAACTAGAAATATAATTAAAAATAATAGGAAAAAATAAAACATGACTTCAACAAATGTAAAAAATTTAATTGAAAATTTTTTCAGAGGAAATAGCAAATTCCAACTATATACCTTTTATATAAGATAGTAAAATGAAATAACATAGGTGGAAAATAAAAGGATAGAGGCAAACAATAAACAAATGAAAATGTTGTCTCAAACAAAGCTTCATCAGGGAAAAAGCATTCAATGAGATAAATACGGGCATAATAAATAATTATTATTATTAATAAATAAATATAATAATAATGAGTGAAATGCAAAATTAAGATCATGTCATTATGAACATCCATAGTACCAAACAGCAGCACTTTAACTCATAAAGCAAAAACTACAGTAAATTCAAAGAGAAAGCATGACTAAGTAACCTTAATTCATGCAAAGCAGATCAAGTGGTCAAAAATCATAAGGATAAAGAAGACCTGAATAAGATTATTAAAGTAGACTATACACATGCACATTTATCTATTTATAAATACATATGAGAGGAATAAGAAAATGTTTTTATATACTTGGAGACTACTCACAAAAAAAAAATTGACTGCATCAAAATGGGCTTCAAACAGGCCTGCAGAATTTGAGTCTCATAGGTAGGGGAAATCCTCCTTTATTCTCTTGTCTTCTCTTCTATTTCCTTTACATACTGAATTCCCAGAAAGAAAGAAAAAAGTCTGAACACTACTGACACATACTAACAATGAAAACATATTTCTTTTACTTTATTTTTTTAAAGATTTATTTATTCATACAGAAAATTGGGGTACAGGCGAGAGGTGCAGTGGCAACAAGAGGATTCACCAGAGACAGATTGGGGAGCAGAACAGGCAGATGGGCTCAGTACACTGCAGAGGGGAGCAGCGGGTGGGCCAGGAGAGGTCTGCCGCGCCATGTGGGTCATCTTCGAGGCCGGGCCGGGGATTGAACTCTCACTGAAGTGGCTGCGGCTAACTTGCAGGCTGCATCCCAACCCATCGCTGTGCCACCAGGGAAGGCCCATATTTTTTTACTTTAAATTTAAACTGCACAGCCCTGTGCCAAACCTATGGAAGGCCATGCCACACTCACCACCAAAATGGCGTCAGTTCTGCAGTCAGACTTCTAGGGTTTGTTTTAGGTTAGTTTTGCCGGTACCATTATTTTCTCTATATTCCACATGGATAAAATCATCTGGTATTTGTCTTTCTCCTTCTGTCTTACCCCTTAGCATAATCCCCTCCAGTTCCATGGGTGTTGTTGCAAATGGCAAGATTTCATCTTTGTGTGTGTGTGTGATAGCTGAGTAGTGTTCTACTGTGTACACATATCACATTTTCTTTGACCTTTGTCATTGAACACTTAGGTCCATAATTTGGCTACTGCAAAAAGTGACTTAATGAACACAGGATTGCACATCTCCCTTCAGAAGCTTTTCAAGAATTATCTCTGCCAGTAAGAAATGTAAGAAGTTTCCTATAAATGTGGGTGTCTACAGTAAAGAGGGGGGGGATGTTTCAATGCTATTTCATCACAAAACAGAAGCCCCATCGTCTCTCAAACAAGTGACTTGAACTGTGTAAGATTATTGAAAGATACCACGGTTGTCAAAATTTTTCATGCATGTGCTCTTAACCTTCACCAGTTAGGACAAAGAGTAGTGTGTGCAATTTGAGTTTATTTCTTGAATATAGCTAGAAAGGATGTTTTGAGGTCAAGGACTTTAGAGAATGAAAGGACTCTCAGAGGCCCAACATACTCAGCATACAGGGGCCCAAGAGATTGTGATTTTTTTTTCTGATCTGATGAAACATCTGAATGCACTGAGCTCAAAACTCAGGGGAAAGGGAGGCTTTGTCTGAGTAAGAAAAGATCTCAGACTCAAACTTGGCATATGAATTGAATTCATGGCAACTGCCTTAAGCTTAATGGAATTACATATTTTGAAGAGTTACTGTATATAGTGTTTTTGTAGAAATAGAGTCCAAATTTCAGACAACACATATTTTAATGAATATGAATTGTAAGTTTCTGCATCTGCCTTTGGTGCTTAAGCCTTAGGATGTGTTAGAACTATCCAGTATCTCTCCTGTCTGAGCAACTTAGTTGCAAGTGGAATTTAATTCATAGAGCTGGGAAAAAAAAAATATATATATATATATATATATATATACATACCAGCAAAAAAAAGACACAATGGAATTAGAATTTGAGATATGACATATGAGTAGCAAAACTGTCCTAAACTTCTGTCTACATGGCTCTCTTTCATGAAACTGCTAAAATCCAGGCTGATAAGAATTTGGAGTAAAATTTCAACTATACACTGCTTACATATAACCCAGATGTCTCAAGAATTGTTCAGTCACATACCTAATTGTGTTTTTATTGATAAATTTCTGTTTTAGGTAAATATCTTTCAGGAGCAGACATACTCTGACATCATCCACATGTAAGCTAAATCTTGCCAGACAAGCAGACACTTTTGGCTGCAAGAAATGGGCTTCTGTCCCTAATTCTATGCCAGCAATCCCAACTCAAGGCCCAGATGATTTAAGTAACTGCAGAATGTGACCTTGAGACAAAGAACTGCAAGCCATGTAGGAAATATCTGAATATTGCTTAGTGTGATGTTTTATAAGGAGTAAATGAACAATACAAACTGTTAATTAGTCTGTCTCTTGGGATATTGGAATTTCCAGCACATTGTTATTATGTGGCTTCAACAAAGGCTTAGCCAATAGACAATGAGTTATCATTAGTGTTGGTGGACTACTGTACATTTTTATTGATTAAATAATTTCGAAAGACTTTTTATGTAATCCTAAAATAAATCTATTATTTTGGAAATCATTAGAAGATAACTGAACACATGTATGAGTTCCTGATAGCCATTAAATAATGATGGATGTCATTATTTTTTAAAAGATTTATTTATGCATATATGAGCAGAGGTATAGACCAGAGCTGCAGGGAGAGTGGGTGACAGGATTCAATAGAGACAAAGACAGAATGGGGAGCAGAACAGGTGGACTAACTGAACTACATCGCTGAGGGGAGCAACAGGCAGGACAGGAGAGGTCTGCTGCACCATGTGGGTCAGCTCCCTGGCCAGAGATCAAACTCCTGCTGCAGTGGCTACAGACAGCTTCATAGTGGTAAGACTTAACCCCTTGTGCCACCAGGGAGGACCTGAACCATCATTATTTTAAAGAATTAAGTCTTCTAGTATGAACATGACTACTTTAGTTTTTTGTGTTTGGAAATTATGAGAAGATTTAAAAAAAGTAAACCCTATACATGCCAAATTCCACAAGCCCCTTTGCAAACTAGGACACAAGTAAGTATGCTGCCCAGATTCTAAGACACATGTAAGAGTTGTCCAAGTCACTGAGCTCGAGCAGAAATTGTGTTGGAGGAAGTAGAGTATAACTAATAAAAGGTTAACTCTCAAAGATAAGGACCCATCCTGAGTTGCAGAGACTTTCTCCAGTGCAAGATGGCGCAGAAACCCTGGCAACGCATGATGTTGATTCAAAAAGACGGTGCCAGTGATGCTGCACAAAGAATCCCCCAGGTAAACCGTATGCAGGAAGCCATCTGTTCCAGTGGTAGCACAAAAGTCAGCTAGACTTGTGGAAAGCAGCTTATGCCCACCCATCCTGGAAATGTGCAAATAGCTGGTCTAGTAAGACACACATCACTCTAACATGAGAGATAATACAGGAAGTAGCACAGCAAGCAATATAAAAATAAAGTTACAAAAATTCTTGGGAAAAGGAGTGAAACTTAGCACATTAAGACCATAAAGTTATATTCTTAATATAAAGTAGTTTACTGAGGTAAACTTGGGGAAGATGTTGTCAGAGGAACTTCTCTGATTTGTCCTGGGAAGATAAACCAGAAAAAGCCCAGGTAGGCACTGGGCTCAGAGTAGCCTATGAAGTTGGGCTAAACCTCAGCACCTCCCTGTCACCACCACCAGGGACCAACGCTGGCTGAGCACTAAGGAGATAGACAGGAAGGACTTCTCTGAACCAAACAGAAGTGTGAGTAGGGGGTGAGGCAGCTGGTAGGCCAGGAACAGTTCATACTCACCCCAGAAAGGCAAAAGTAATTTCTGTAGATCTAATGGTCAAAATGCTGAGGTGAGCCAAGTGGGAAGCTCCTGCAATGAAGAAGACAAAACTCAAAAGTTGCAATTCCACACACCCGTCCACCCTAGCAGTAGGTGGACAAGAGATCAAGCAAATGGAGATCAGCCATGTTGGAATGCATCAAGGCTGCTGGGAGAGCCCAGCCAACAGAACGCAGACACATGGACCTGAAACCCAGAGAGGAATGCCAGCAGTGCTAACACAGGCAAGAGCCAACCCCCCCTCCCCCACATACACACCACTTTTACCAGCAAGTGAGACTTAGTGACCACTCACTCCCCCTCACTCACTGCAGACCAAACTACAGGTTAGTTCGCCCTGATATTCAGCGCCATCTACTGGAAAATTGGAAACTTTGCATCCTAAACATTTAGAAGATAATCCGAAAAAAAATATTACAAAGGAGGTAAAGGACCTCTATACATTGTAACTGTGGCATTGTTAGCATAGAAGAAAACACAAAGATATTCCCTGTTTTGGGACTAGAAAAATTAACAGTGTCAAAACAGCCATCTTATAGAGTGCAGGATAGAGTGCAGTCCCTATCAAAGTTTCAATGTGTTCTTCAAAGAAATAAAATAAGCATTACTGCAACTCATATGGAACCACAAAACTCCCCCCAAATAGTTTAAACAATCATGACCAAAATGAGGAAGAATGGCAGCATCACTCTTCCAGACTTCAAACTATAGTACAAAGCTTTAATAATCAAAGCAATATGGTACTGGAACAAAAACAGACACACAATGGAATAAAATTGAGCGCTCAGAAATAAACTCACAATTACTTGGCCAGTAAATATCTGGCAAGAGAGCCAAAAATATACATTGGAGCAAGGAAACTCTTTTCAAAAAGTGGTATTATAGGGCCCTCCCTGGTGGCGCAGTGGGTTAAAGCACAGCACTAAGAAGCTAAAGCCACTCAGCATGAGTTTGATCCCTGCCCGCCCTGGAGGTGACCACATGGTGCAGCAGAACTCTGGCCAGCCCACTGCTCCCCTCAGCAGTGTATTTTGTCAGTCAGCCTGTTCTGCTCCCCACTCTGCCTCTAGTGAATTCTTTCACTGCCTCTGCACCTCTAGCCTGTATCCCAGTTCTGTACGCATAAATAAATAAATCTTTAACCAAAAAAAAAATGTGGTATTATAAAAACTGGACAGTAACACACAAGAAATAAGTTAGACTGCTATATCAGACCATATACAAAAAAATCAATTCAAATGTGAATAAGAATAGATGGAAAGCCTGAAGCCATAAAATTTCCATAATAGAAAACATAGGCAAAACACTCCATAACCAAGTCTTCACAGAATTTTTGTGAATTCATCTATAGCAGCAAGGAAAACAGGAGAGAATGTAAATAATTGGGACCACATCAAGCTAAAAAGCTTCTGCATAGTGAAAGAAACCATCATAAAAACAAAAGGTACCTACTGAATGGGAGGAAATAGTTGTATACTTATATTTGATAAGGACTGATATCAAAGATCTACAAAGAACTCATACAACTCAATGAAAAGGAAACAAATAACATAATAAAAAAATAAAAGCCGGGTCCTCTCTGGTGGTGCAGCAGATTAAAGCACAACACTGAGAAGGTAAGCCACTTCAACATGAGTTCAGTCCCTGCCCTGGGGGTGATCCACATGGTGTGGCAGACCTTTCCTGACCTGCCTGCTGCTCCCCTCAGCAGTGCATTTTGCTGATCTGCCTGTTCTGCTCCCCACTCTGTCTCTGGTGAATTCTCTCACCACCCCTGCACCTCTGGCCTGTACTCCAGTTCTGTATGCATAAATAAATAAATCTTTTAAATAAATAAATATAAAAGTGCTAAATAGCACTTCTTTAAAGAAGACATACAAATGTCCAAAAGAAACTTGAAAAAATGTTCACCACCACTTTTTGTCAAGGAAATGCAAATCACAACCACAGTGAGCTACCACTTCACTCCCATGAGAACTGACATATCAAAAAGACCAGAAATAACAAGTGCTGCCAACCCTGTGGAGTAAAAGGAACCCTCTTACAACACTGGTAGGAATGTCTACTGGTTCAGCCCCTATGGAGAACAGTATAGAGTTTTCTCAAAAGATAAAAGTTTGATCTAGCATATGACCCCACAATTCCATTCTGTGGTATCTACCCAAAAAAACAAAAACAAAAACATTAGCTCAAAGCAAAACATATACTCTCACATTCATTACAGCACTATTTGCAATAGTGAAGCTCTGGAATAAATCTAAGTGCTCAAATCCACAAATAATGGAATACTACTCAGCTAGCAAAAAGGATAACTCTTGCCATTTATGATAACAAAGAAGGAGCTGGAGGGGATTGTGATAAACAAAATAACTTAGAAGAGGATGATAAATACCAAATCCTGTCACTTACATGTGGTATATAAAGAAACCAAACAAAGGATTAGATCAAGTCAAACTAATAAATCCTAGAAATCTAACAGGAGAACTGAGGGTAGGTAGGGGAAAGGGTGAGAACAAGTTGGGCTATGGCAGTGGACTATGATGATTTCAGTAGTGGGGTTCATGTGGTAACACCTGAATGGGGAGATCCTGTATTTCTAAAACACAAACAACATAGAAAATGTTATCTCAATTTAAAAAAATAAGTATTTACTAGAAATAGTAAATCAAAAAGAAAAAGAAAAAAAAAGTGAAATAACAGGAGATGGTAAAATTTTATATAAAAGAACATAGAAAGACCCCCTCAGCAGTGTGCTTCATTGATCTGCCTGTTTTGCTCCCCACTCTGTCTCTGGTGAATCCTCTCACGGCCCCTGCACAACTGGCCTGTATCCCAGTTCTGTATGCATAAATAAATAAATCTTTTTTTAAATGTTTAAAAAAAAAAGAACTTAGCAAGAAAACAGTAGGAAAAAAACAAAACCATTACAAAATTAGAAAGCAAGTGAAAAGGGGGAAACTTTTAAAATAACAATGTAGAAAATGAGAAAAACAAAAAGAAGGATTTTTTGGCTTATCATTTACAACCCAAGGAAAAGACTTAAATAGCAGAACAAATACTTGAAGATACAATTGCTCAACTAATAAAACTTATCCAAGTTATTTTTCTTCACTGAAAGAATGCAATACTGATGTGCCAGGGAAAATTTGCCTAATATTACTACTGAATACAAATTTTACTTCTTTGATGGTTCTCATCAAGAGAAGAAATGAGATGTACACTAAGTTTTCTATTACAGCATTGTTCTTAATAGAAGAATATTGGAAACAGAGCAAAGGCCGAAGGGCCTCCCTAAACAATTTATTTAAGGAAGGGAGCAGTTACATGAACCAGGAAACAAACGGTATGGATCGGGCAGCCTGACAGGACCATCACCTTCAGACAGGTCACGCCACCAGCCTGCGGTGACTCAGCAAGGCAGGAGTCACAGAAGGAAGTGCCCTCATCACTCTCTCCTGCCAATGACTCAGAAAGCAGGTAATCATTAGGAAATTGCCTTTGGAGGCCATGCTGAAAAGATATAGGTGTCAGTGATTACTATAAGACAGGGTACAGTTTTACCCAAGGCCCTGTTCAAGGAAGTGGATTCCAGGGATCCTCTATGGTGACGTAGAAGGCAAGTCTCAGCACCAGCACCATGCAGCCCAAGTCCCATCCTGGCCGGGGAATTAAGCTACAGAAGGCACAGCTGACCTCTCCTGGCTCACCCTCAGTAGTGTACTTCACCAGATCCACCTACTCTGCTTGCTCCCCACTGTCTGAATCTTCTCCCACCCCACCTCCTGCCCCAGTTTTTCAAAGCATGAATAAATAAATAAAAATCTTTGTAAAAGAGGGAAGTGGTTTCCAACTGGGACCCTAAAGATCCTCAAAGGTAGTTATGGGGCTCAGTGAAGTATTTTGTATATATTGACAAAATATTTACCAGAGAAACTATTTACTTATCCTGAACAAGAGCAAAAAGGAAATGTGGTTCTAGTTTGAGCTGGTGTAGTCTGAATGGGTACTGACCAGTAGTGTGATATGTGGTTTTACACAACTTTAATTAATAGACAGAAGCAGCATTTTAAAAGTTCACAGATGTAGATTGCAACAATAGGGAATCTCTAGGTTATTCCTGATCTTGGAGTCACTGAACCTAGAAAATTAGAGTCTATAAAATGGGAAACTGTTTTATCACTAAAAATCACAAACTACATTCTATTATTTGATGATGATAGCTAAAATAGACACGTTATAATTTGTTCACATGGAATTATTGATTTGTACAATAGGTCACATTAATAAGTTTGTCTTTTCTATTTGATATCATCAGTATTTTAAATACTTTCATTCAGAATTTGATTTTTTTAAAGATTTATTGATTTATGAATACAGAACTGGGGAACAGCCAGAGGTGCAGGGGTAGTGAGAGGATTCACCAGAGACAGAGTAGGGAGCAGAACAGGCAGATCGATGAAGTACACTGCTGAGGGAGCAGCGGGCAGGTCAAGAGAGGTCTGTCATGCCATGTAGGTCACCTGGGGGTTGGGGGATCGAACTCATGCTGCAGTAGCTTTAGCTTCTTAGTGCTGTGCTTTAACTGACTCTGCCACCAGGGAGGGCCCCAGAATTTGATTTTTTTTTTTAAGCAGGTCTATGTTATTAAACTTCATTGAGAAGAAATCAAAAGGACTCAAGATAAATAATGTTTTCTATCCTGAAAGGGTTAGCTATTAAAATGAAACAACGGGTTTATTAAAATCAGGAAAATTGCAGATTGCAGAAACACCAGAGTTAGTCACTGTAGGGAGAGTAGCAGTGCATGGAGACTGAGGAGACCAGCTGCTTAGGAAAAAGGAAAAGCAGATGGAATGCCTGTTGCTCCCCATAAGGGGTCATTACCTTCCAAACTGTCAAGATGTCAAAAGTATTAACAAGATACAAACATAAGGCAAGAGTTTTTCTCCAACGCCTGCTTGAAAGCTGAAGTGTTTCTA